TATTCCATGGTGTATATGTGCCACATTTTCTTTATCCAGTCTGTCATTGATGGGCATTTGGGTTGGTTCCAAGTCTTTGCTATTGTGAACAGTGCTGCAATAAACATATGTTTGCATGTGTCTTTAAGGTAGAATAATTTATAATCCTTTGGGTATATGCCCAGTAATGGGATTGCTAAGTCAAATGGTATTTCTGGTTTTAGATCCTTGAGGAATCACCACACTGTCTTCCACAATTGTTGAACTAATTTACACTCCCATCAACAGTGTAAAAGCATTTCTATTTCTCCACATCCTCTCCAGCATCTGTTGTTTTCTGACTTTTTAATGATCACCATTCTAACTGGTGTAAGATGGCATCTCACTGTGGTTTTGATTTGCATTTCTCTAATGACCAGTGATAATGATTTTTTTTCATATGTTTATTGGTCACACAAATGTCTTCTTTTGAGAAATGTCTGTTCATATCCTTTGCCCACTTTTTGATGAGGTTGGTTTTTTCTTGTAAATTTGATTAAGTTCCTTGTAGATTCTGGATATTAGCCCTTTGTCAGATGGATAGATTGCAAAAATTTTCTCCCATTCTGTAGGTTGCCTGTTCACCCTGATGATAGTTTCTTTTGCTATGCATAAGCTCTTTAGTTTAATTAGATCCCATTTGTCAATTTTGGCTTTCGTTGTCATTGGTTTTGCTATTTTAGCCATGAGGTCTTTGCCCTTGCCTATGTCCTGAATGGTATTGCCTAGGTTTTCTTCTAGGGTTTTAAAGGTTTTAGGTCTTATGTTTAAGTCTCTAATCCATCTTGAGTTAATTTTTGTATAAGGTGTAAGGAACGGATCCAGTTTCAGTTTTCTGCATATGGCTAGTCAGTTTTCCCAACACCATTTATTAAATAGGGAATCCTTTCCCCATTGCTTGTTTTTGTTAGGTTTGTCAAACATCAGATGGTTGCAGATGTGTGGCATTATTTCTGAGGCCTCTGTTCTGTTCCATTGTTCTATATATCTGTTTTGGTGCCAGTGCAATGCTGTTTTGTTTACTGTAGGCTTGTAGTATAGTTTAAAGTCATATGGCATGATGTCTCCAGCTTTGTTCTTTCTACTTAGTATTGTCTTGGTTTGGTTCTTTGTTTCTGTTCCATTAATATTTTTTTTTCTCTTATTTTTACTATTTCATTCCTCCTCATTCCTTCGACTGTGTTATAGTGCTTTTCCAGGGTCTTAACTAAAACATTTAGCTCATTATCTTTTACCTTTTCTTTCTTCCTTGCATACTCACTTAAAGCCATGCCTTTTTCCCTAAACAATTTTTTGCTACAATATTGATATATAGCAAATAAATATTTAAACAATTTTAAGTTTTATTATAATTTTATTTTTCAAATATATGGAGATTTTTGAATTAATTTTCTTACTCAATTTTTAACATTTTATTTTTAAAATTATAACTCACAGAAAAGTCACCAAATATTATGATTACCTCCTATATTCCCTTCACCTAAACTCACCAATTGCTCAGATTTTGCACTTTTTAAATTAACTAACTCCTATCTATATGCATCTCTCTATATATGTATTTATATATACATACATATATATGTTTATGCACTTATAAAATACATTTATATTTTTATTTGCTAAATAATTGAAGAGTTAGTCACAGACATCATAACACTTATCACATCTATTGTAAATAATTCAGCATGTATCTCCTAAGAACATAGATATTCACATATAACTCCAATAAAATTATCCCACTCAGGTAATTTCATTTTTATAAGATACATATTTTTAACATGCAGTCTGTGTAAAATTTTCACAGTGGTATTTATAGTGTCTTAGTTTATTTGAATGAGCACTCAGTAAGGATTATATGTTATATAGTTTTCATGTCTCCTTACTTTCCGTTAATCTAGAATAGTTCCTCTTCCCAGACTTTCATTGTCATTCATTGTGTTGACAATTTTGAAGATTCCAGGCCAGTATTTCAGAACATCTTTCATTTTGTATTTGTCTGATTTTCTTCCCTAATGGATGGGTTCAGAAAAATGTTTAAGGAATTATTACATAAGTGATAAGTCCTACCTACATGGTATGACTTGGCTGTGTCCCCACTCAAATCTCCCCTTGAATTGTAGCTCCCATAATTCCTATGTGTTGTGAGAGGGACCTGGTGGGAGATAATTGAATCATTTAGGAGGTTTCCTTCATACTGTTTATGTGACAGTGATCTGGCACTTGTTGATTGGCCAAAATGTAAAGTCCAGCAAAGATTACTTACAATTTTAGTGAATGTTAAAAAATTTCCAGGGTAACAATTGAGGTTTTTGTACATTATTTCAATTAGCCCTCAGAGCTCATTAAAAATGTTTTTAATTTATAAAAATAAAAACAAGTGTTTTATAAAAATAAGTAACTTCTGTAGATTTGAAGGAAACATGACAGTGTTAGAATTTTAATTCCTGTCCATTTAAGTCCAAAGCCAGATTACTTAACTGGAATGTTTTTCGTTTTATTATTTTATCTTATTTTCCTTCATTTTGTTTTATTTTATTTTATTCTATTATACTTTAAGTTCTGTGGTACATGTGCAGAACATGCAGGTTTGTTACATAGGTGTACCTATGCCATGGTGGTTTGCTGCACCCATCAAACCATCATCTACATTAAGTATTTCTCCTAATGCTAACTTCTTGATCAAGTCTAATGGTTTCTTGGAAAAGCATATTATAAGAAAAAGCAATGCAAAGTACTATCACTTGAATTTAAGCAGAATACAGTTATTAAATTTAAAACTACTGGAGGTTTAGAAATTATTTTATCGTCAAATTTTAGGTTGAACAGGTCTTTTTTCTCTTACTTTTAAACTTCTTATTCTATTTTTTGCTTCTCTATGCTTGATACCAAACAAACTGGATTCTCTTCACTAGTTACAGGATAAATAAATGATCCAGTCAATTAACAATATGGAATCTAATTATTTTGAACCTATCAAAGCCTCACTATCCTGTATAATAAAAATGTTAAAAATAATGTGTATATTATCTTTGCTGGTCAAGTAGAGAACAGAGTTCCCTTCAGACCAATGAAGGAATTCTATTTATTTGTCATACAAATTATTTTTTTTACTTTATCCATTAAAAATCTCTATTCTTTGTTTCAGTAAAAGTGCATGGCAGACTTTTTAGAAAAGAATAGCAAGATAAATCTAGCAATTCCATAACAGAAAGATCACTGGGAAAAAAAGTGTAGATAAATATATTTTTATAAAGATGAAGAACTTCCACAATAACTCTTATTTTTGCTTACAAGATTCAGCTGGCTTGTGAGATGGAAAAAGCTGGCTTAAAGCAGAAAGAGCTAATTTATCATCTGTTACCTTTACCTTAAATCAAGCAGAGTCACATGACATCAAATCTCCTGTCTGCCCACATAGGTCTCAGTTCATGGATAAGGTAACAAACTCTCACCAAAGTTCTCTATCACTTTATTTTTCTTGGAGCCACCTGCTGTGTGCTGTCTCTCTCTAATTCCAAAGTTCTAGTACTCACTGCTGATCTTAAATTCACATTTCAGAAGTTCAGGCAACTGATACTCAGAGTTTGGAAAAAATGTTTACAGGAAACATAGAAAGTGGCCAACTATTCTATTTCCCTTTGCTTCCCCACCGCCGCCCTCACTTTCTGTAGAGTAAAAGCCTCACAACTATAAAAGACATTAGTGAAAAACTAGGACAATTTGAATATGGACTGTTTTAGATAATATCTCTTTAATTATTTATATCTGTAATTTATATCCACAATATTTTGTAGCTTGAGATGCCATTTTTGTTGGATTTTTTAAAAATCTAATAATCTAAAATGTGTCATGTTTTAAAATTTTGTTTTCAATTTGATTCTAGTACCTAGAAATATAATTTACTTTTTGTATTGACTTTATTTAGTGAGTTTGCTGAATTGTTGTATTACTTCTATTAGTTTCTAGATATTAAAAAAATTTAGGTATCTAATCGTGTTACATATGAATAATGTCAGCTTTGTTTCCTTCTTTCCACTGTTTATACTATTTGTCCTATTCTTAACTTAAAGCACTGGTGCAGTCCTCCAGTATAATGTTGTACAGAAGTACTGATAAATTAACAACATTCTTGGTTTATTTCTGAACTTTGGCGAAAGTGTTCAATAATCCACTGTAAAATATGGCGTTTGATGTGGCTTTTGGTATAGGTAAACATTATCAGTTTAAAGTGATTCCTCGATCCTTATTTTACTGATTTTTTTTTAATCATGAGTTAATGTTTTATAACTCCTACAAATCAATACGAAAGAGATACAATCACTAAAAAACAAACCAAAAAAAAAGTCTCCAAGACTCAAATACAAATTCACAAAAGAGCATATCTAATGGCCAGTGTCAACATCAATTATGGAGAGGTTATCAACATCATTAATGGAGAGGAAAAAGGAAATTAAGACCAAAAGACCAAGATGATATGCATTTACACACACTGCAGAAGGGTTAAAATTGGAAAAAGGGTTGACCAGCTGGAACTGTGGACACTGCTTATGGGAACTTAAATTGGCATAATCATTTTTTTGCTGTCAATATCTCTAAAAGATAATAATATAAATAGTTTATGTTGAAACTTCTCTACTTCTAGGTATATAACCATTAATAATGAATGCACACATTAATAAAATTTAGCAACTTTATTCATAATTTTCATCTATCCTACCACGGATACATTAAATTGTAGTATGGTATACTGTGAGACTCCTGAAGTGGGGTTCAGAGTTTGAATCATAAACCAAAATCACAAGATGCAAATAGGGTTATTTATCTTCAAATTGACACTGGTCAGACAACACACTATTATACATATCAGGAATATCATGTATAATTTGGACACCCAGATGCATTTTCTTATGCGCCCAGGTACTGTGTACAGGATATGCTTTGGTTATAAGATTAACCCAAAGCTGACATGTGTATGTGTCACAGCAGCATAAGAAACCTACCAGGTACAAGTAGCCTCAACTTAAATACCTTGTTACCACATAAATTTAAGTGAGTAGCTCCCTTTCCTTCATGAGGCCGTAGTCCACAGATTGTAAGTCACGTAATAACCAAGCCTGCCAGCCAAGGACACAGACTGGAGAACATTCTTTAACTAATACTTAGCACATACCAAGCCCTGCAAAACCATCACCTATTTTTAGAGTTGATGTTTTAAAACGTTTGAATAAGGGGAAAATTTTTAATCTAGGTGAGGTAATAAGACCAACTGTGTGTGCATGCATACACACATATATAATTCTGTTACATTATTTTTAAATAACTTAAAACTTACTAAGACACCAATAAGTAGCATGATAAGAATCATCTAATAACGTGTGGAAACATTAAAAACGTGAAACAAAGCAAAACAAAGCAAAAAAGTTAATCATAATTTCACATTATTATTATTGCTACAAGCTATAGGGATTTACCATACTCCTTTTTCCTCCTCAACCTAGTCTCCCTCTATTCTACCTTTTGAGCTTATTCTTGAAAAAAAAAATCAGTTATTTTTATTTTCATAATTCTTTCAAAAAAGAGAGAAAAAGTATAACCTGGAAGTAGAAGCAATATGAGAAAGTTATGAGGATTTCATAATCCTTCAAATTTCTTGCAACAATTTTTACTAGTTCAGGGATCACATGTCTTATCAACTCTGTCCCCACTCCTGAGTCTCCTCAAAGAATTCTTGATAGTACTTCACTAATGACTCATAATATGCTTTTCACACTAAATAAGGAATTGACCCCAGAATCTCACTAAATGTAGTGGTCCCATCATGGATTTTCTTCTCCATGCTGCTTCTATTGCTGAGTTCAAATCCCTGCTTTGTATTCTGATTCTTTCTCCCAAGCAAACACAATGTTTATAAATATTTCAGGCTGAAATATATTTTATTTAATTGTTTATTCATTATAGGTATGCATGCACAGAAATTATAGGTCATTAATGAAGTGATGAAATAATGTGAAGACTTTGTTAAGATGTATCATCTTCTTGTGGATGGATTTCTTCAATGACTTGAGTCTTTAGGGTACCATTCTTGAGTCCCTACTGAGTCCTCTGAGATCCAATTATTTGGGTCCATAGGGTCACATTCTCTCACACAGCAATGAGTTGTAGGTCTTTCACAGTATGAAATCCTAAATTCACTATCGTCACATTGATTTTTACATCGACCGCCAATCGCTATGCATGCCTTCCACCTATTAAAGATGATATGGTGCCCTTCACTTCTGACTGAAAGAAGGCAAGAACAGCTGGAATTAGTAATCTAGGTGGGAACTCCCAAGATTTAAAAGAAGACATGGAAGTAATCACAGACAACAGAGGAGAAATAAAGGAAATGGATATTTGCTTTAATTTTTTTTGGTCCATATCAGAGCAGATCAAGGAAATCAACAAGTATACAGTTCCTAAACTAGAGGTTCCATTCCTATGCATTCTGAATAATTTTGTAGTGACTCAATAAGGGATTTCTGAAGGGCTTGCAATTTATTAATCTTCCTCTGTCTGTCTTGCTCATTGACTAGAACCATTGGATATAAATGGGACGATCTCCATCCTCTCATTTATCATTCATTCTTAGTACTGTTCTGTGGTAAATGTTCTCTTCCTTTTTAAGATTCCATTGTTCTTTTTAACCTGACTTGAGCAGTTCTAAAATATTGAAAGACATAATTTTATTTTCCTGAAATATCTCATCTCCTCTTGGATCTGCACCCTAGAGCCAAGCACAAGAGAAGTTTTGCTTAAAAAATAGACACTTTGGGGTGATTAGAATAAGGAAATAGTAAATAACCATAAGCTGAGGACATAGTGAACATTTCAGCAAGGCTCATAATTTTCTCTTTTTACTTTGCCATTTTTCTCTTTCATCCTGAAGTCTCCAGTGCTATAGAAAATTTTAAAAAATGTCTCTAATCTCACTTTACACTGTAATTTCTTCGACTTTGTAACTTCCACAATTATAAGGAATGATGTATGTATCTAGATAGAAGGTCTCTCTGTCACTAACAGAAGTTCTGATCTGTCGTTGCAGGTATTCATTTATTCTCTGTATCTCCACAGGATAAAACTAAAAATAAATGGTGCATATCACTGGAGAGCCAGGTTTTGAATCAATATAATGATTTTTTTAATTAATTAAAAAGTTTAATAAAAATTGTGGAAGAGACTGTCTTAGAAAGTACATTATCTACCATTACTGGACTAATACAAGCATGCATTGCTGGACATATTTCAGAAGGTGGATGAAAATTAGCAAGTCCTTATCACTGATGTCTATAAATATGCTTTCATCTCAAAAACCTTTTTATTCTTTTTTTTTTTTTTTTTTGAGACGGAGTCTCGCTCTGTCGCCCAGGCTGGAGTGCAGTGGCCGGATCTCAGCTCACTGCAAGCTCCGCCTCCCGGGTTCACGCCATTCTCCGGCCTCAGCCTCCCGAGTAGCTGGGACTACAGGCGCCCGCCACCTCGCCCGGCTAGTTTTTTGTATTTCTTAATAGAGACGGGGTTTCACCGTGTTAGCCAGGATAGTCTCGATCTCCTGACCTCGTGATCCGCCCGTCTCGGCCTCCCAAAGTGCTGGGATTACAGGCTTGAGCCACCGCACCCGGCCTAAAAACCTTTTTATTCTACAATTAACCAATTTCGTGTCCATCTGTTTAAATAAAATACATATATATCATTTTATATAAAGTAGTAATATTACCCACAAATTTTGCAGCAATAATTTAAAATAACTGAGGATTCTGAGACTACACTATCAGAGGATATTCCTATTGCCATACTCTGGATTTGCAGTGAAGTGTACTCAGTCACCTAGGAACTAGCACTTTATGCAGTTATCTTTGCTAATAATTGTATTTTATTTATAAATAGTAATAGTAATATGAATAATAGTAATAATAATATTTCACGCCCATATTTACCCTGAGATATGAAAGGTATATTTCATAATCAGATAACCCCAGCATAGTTCTGTTCACAAAGAAACATATCACAAGGGGTATATTATTCTGAGAGAAGGAACACAAAATATAAATGCAGAGCTTAATGTAGCACTGTAGATGAAATAGCCATGAGGTTACTACCTACATCAAGAAACAAGATATTACTAGAAGCTCTATACCCTCTCACCACATCATAATCCCCTCCCTCTCCCCTAAGAATAATCACTGTCCTGAATTAAACACTAACTTTCTTACTTTGCCTTATATTAATATTTGTATTCCTCAAGTATGCATTCTTTATGCCTGCTTTTGAACATGTATACACATAAAATATGTATAAATCTAGATATACACACACACACACATATATATATATATGTACACACACAAATAAATGTGTACATATGTGTATATAATCAGGTGTCACTTAGGGACAGGGATAGGTTTTGAGAAATGTGCCATTAGGTGATTCTGTCCTTGAGAAAACACCATAAACTGTACTTACATAAACCTAGATGGTAAAGCCTATCACATACCTAGGCTATAAGCTATAGCCTATTGCTTCTGGAATACAAACTGGCACATGTTACTGGACTGAATACTTTAGACAACTGTAACATAATGGTAAGTATTTATGAATCTAAACATAGAAAAGCTACCGTAAAAGTATGGTATTATAAGTATGGGACCGCTGTCCTATATGCAGTCTGCTATTGACTGAAACACTGTTTTGCAGCACATGACTGTTTATACTGATAGTCCCAGAATTACAATAATTTGACTCAAGTTTTCATCCTCAGAATGGGGCGAAAAAGATATACATTCAGTGGAGATCAAAGTATAAGTACACATACAACAATGCTGTTTTTTCCCTTTCAGTACATTATCAAATACATTCCATGAGATATTCAATAATTTATTATAAAACTCTCTTTATGTTAGATGATTTTGCTCAGTTGTAGGCTAATGTAAGTATTCTGGGCATGTTTAAACCAGGGTGAGCTAAGCTATGATGCTCTGCCAGTTAGGGTGTATCGAATCCACTTTCAACTGATGGTATTTTCAACTCAAAATGTCTTTAACAAGACGTAATCCCATCATAAATTGAGGGGCACTCTGTGTGTGTGTATGTGTGTGTATCTTAGACAGAGAGTCATACAGTTTGTTTGTTTCTGGATTTTTAAATTTATATTCATATAATTCAGCTTTGTGGTTGGATATAGTTTTGCAGCACTGATTTTCATTAATGTATAGCATTCACTTTCTTTATCTAATAAACTTTAGATGATCATATAGGTTATTTGATACAGGGAGAATATGGCTGCTCTTAACATTCTTGTACTATTTCTTGAAGCATATTTAATAATCTTCTGTTGGGTAGATTTCAAATTTTAAATATTCTGTTGAATGTATGGTGGTAGTTTATCAGGGTTTAAATTAGCATTTTCTTGATTGCAAGTGATGATGAGCACTTTAAGGAGGTTGTTTATCCGCTCTTTCAAGTGGCTTAGGTCTTTTTTTCTATTTCTACTGAATTACCTATCACTTTCTTATTTATTTATTAGAATTTTAAAATATATTCTAGATTTAAGCCCTTCGCTAGTTATATATGTAGCAATTTTTTTATTCTACTCTACGACTACTAAATTGATATACAAGAACTGAGGGGAATTTTGCCATTGAAGTGATGTAATGGACAAGAGGGAAGAAACTTTAAAGGTTGTGGATCCTAAAACATACATTTGGAATAAAGGTGAGCCTGCGGTTACATGAGCTGGTCAGGTACTGAGTGAACCTGGAGCCTGTATCCACAGAGGCCGGCCTCGGGGCTGAGTCCACAGGTCCTTACCTGATGACTATGGCTGTGGAGCACACCTTGTTCTTGGACAAGCCTGAAGCCTGGGGTTCAGCGTGGTGCTGGGGGGGAATTCCACAGCCCAGGAACACTGGGGCCAGCCTAGTTCTAGAGAAACTCTGGAAAATGAGTGTGATTATTGGGCCTAGCCTGAATCTGTGGGTGTTGAACTAGCACTAGGGCTACTGGGCAGGCCTGGAGGGGCCGTGAGCCGAGACTTGATGGGCTGACCTAGAGCCAGAGGCTGTCCGATCTGGCCTTGTGCCACAGCAGACTTGGAAGCTCAGTCTTCAGGTACGGGTCTGAAGTCTGAGGCCATGGGGGCCTGCTGGGTGCTGGGTTCTACTTAGAAAGGCCATCCAGTGTTGGGGTCCAAGGCTAAGTTCTATGGTCATTTCCCTCTCTGGCCTCCACAGGGAGGGTATCTGTATCCAGGCTGTGCTATCTAGGCTTGGGAGAGAGGTGGCATGAGCAATGTGGCACTGTCCTTCCTACCCTCTTTAATGTATCTTTTCTTATTTCTGTAATCTCCCCAAGCGCTGTGATCTCTCACTGGTTTCCTTAGCTCTTGTGAAGGCATTTTCGTGCATGGATAATTGTTCAAATTAATGATTCTGTAAAGGATGGAGCACTGAAAAGTCCCATTCCAACTTCATGCTGATATCCAGTGAAATTTAGTCAAAAAGAATTATTTTAAAACTAAGTTCCCAGTCCCTTGTCTAGACTTTTGTTGGCTCAATTGCCTTTTTGAGTTGTCTTAATTAAACTGTGCTTTAAGATAAACAGAACACCTTCATCATTCTTTTCATATAACAATATACTTTTTATATCCAAAAAAGTCAGTATTTTGAACAGTGGTGATTGATAAAAAATAGTTTTGCCCTGGCTGGGCACAGTGGCTCACACCTGTAATCCCAGCATTTTGGGAGGCTGAGGCGGGTAGATCACCTGAGGTCAGGAGTTCGCAACCAGCCTTGCCAACATGGTGAAACTCTGACTCTACTAAAAATACAAAAAATTAGCCGGGCATGGTGGCAGGAGCCTTTAATCCCAGCTACTCTGGAGGCTGAGGCAGGAGGATTGCTTGAACCTGGGAGACAGAGGTTGCAGTGAGCCGAGATCGTGCCATTGCACTCCAGCCTGGGCAACAAGAGTGAAACTCCGTTTAAAAAAAAAAAGAAAAGAAAAAATTGCCAGCTCTTGGGTAGGAGGGAAACTGAGACAACAGTGTAACTCCTAAGTACAATTGCATTAAAACATTTAAAAAAGTAACAATGCTGCTGAAAACAATGATTAGAGAAACTTTCTTCATGGAAATGATAAGGGCATTTGCCTAGCCAGCACTTCATCCAAAAAAAATTCAGCCTCTACAACCTTAAAATAAGATTTCTTTCTTGTTTTAAACATGAAATTCAGCCTTCATAAAGCTATGAGGTGAAAGACAAGAACATATAGGTAAACAGGGACTGGGGTAGAGAATATACTCAGAATATTTAGTTCATTTCAGTCGAAAAGTATTGATTAAAATGTGCAAGACACAATTCTACTTATTTTATTTTACCTGTGCTGATTTTCTCTGTCCCATGTCATGCTTTTTCAAATATCGTGGAAGATGTATTTGTCTTTGAGTACATTTTTTCAAGCTTCAGTCTACATATGGTTGTCAATAATTTCATAGGAGTGCTAACAGGTTGGTAAGAGCTCACTGTAAAGTAAAAAAAATTACTTTAAAAGTAGAAAAAAAATATTTTCAGAAATAAAGACACAAAAGTATTTGCCTCTATTTAATGGTTCTATAGATTATAAAAGGTTTCACAAAACGATAAACATACAGTACACATGTTTAAAAATCCAGTTAAATGAATAAATGACTTGACTATTAATAAGTTCACCTTGCATGGCTATGGTTAGGAAAAATAAATCAATACAGGCAAAATGCAGAACAAATGCTAGCTATTAAAATCATTATTTTGAAGAAAACCTATCAGTGTTTATTGAAATCTATATAATACTTTGTATCTCAGAAAAGTTCTAAATATAGAGGGAATTCTAATAAGCATGCTTTAACTAACTTTTATAAAGAAGAAAAATTATTCTCTGATATAAAAAAACTGCCTTGTTGGTTTACATTATTAATTGAAGTTCATCTACTTGTTCCCTTTTGGTGAGAAATTATCAGCTAAAAAGCTATTGATGTTTAAATGTTAGGGCAGAGTAGTAGTAAACGAATGAATTACTACAGATTTATTTTAAGGTTACCTCCTCTGATCTCAATACTGACAGATAGCTTGGTAATCAGAGAAAGCAGCAAGATAAAGAAAAAGGAGAATTTAACTGGAAGTGAGCAGTAGACAAGTGCAGCTTTTCTCAATTGTTAATATAATACAATTTGAAACTTTTAGGAAGGCATTATGTCTGATTAACCTCTGCTATAAATAATATCAATGTGGGAATCAATGATTTTCCAGCATAATTCATAACTTTCCCAGTTTTTTCCAATCTATTAATAGATCAAATTCAGTTAAATTCGAGTGTTGAATAAATGCGCATTTCATGAATCTATGAAATCAATGTAGCATTATTTTCTTCTAATCATTTACATATATGCATATATGTGAACGTATATTTTTATGTAATTAAGGTGAATTACAGCCTTTTCTAGGATGTTGTGTTTGAAAAATTATTCAAATATTTTTACCTGAGAACTGTGAATAAATGTAATGTAACATGGTGATGGTATTAATAAAATGATTTTATAATGTAAATTCTACTTTAAATATCCCAGTTCCCCCACTTTAATGCTGGCCCCTTGATCCCTCTAGCAATAATATTCATATTACCTGGTAGAATAAGGACAGCAAAGAAAAGCAAAATACACAAAAAGAGAAGGATCTTCATTGTAAATGATTTCTTGCTATAAAACAGTGTACAGATCATCTGTCTGACTCAGCTGTTGTTGAAACAAGGAAAGAAAACCCTTACATTTAAAGAATCCTTCTGCATAGTTTTGACTACTGAAGCTTATTAAGAGCAAGAACATTTCCATGCTTGGTGAACACCTGCCATATTCAAAGAGATAGTGACTAGAAAAACCTGCTTTGTCACACAAAAGTTACATCTGCTGATTTCTCTTGCAGTCAGTTTCTTTAAGAAACTTTAACAGTTACAAGAGTATGGGTATAAATTGCTAGGTGACCAAGATCAGAAATAGTCCTGCAGCAATTCACTTGACATCCCAGAAGTACTAGTTTTATATAATTCCATTTACTATTTTATTGTTCCCAGTATTAACAATGAATCTCAATGTAACAAGAAATCCAAATCATATAACTTTAGGCTGAAATTATCATACAGAATATTTAATTTTACATATAAAAATGTTGAGATCCAGATTTGTCAGGTAATTTTATAATCTACACTTTCTTTATTTAAATTATGTATGAACATAAATCATGACAGTATTCTGATGTTTATGGATATTAGCCTGTCGAGCTTAGCTATACCACGAAGAAAAGTCTGTCCCCTCAAATAGGATTTGTGAATGTCAGTGCAAAAACATTCAATATTATAAAATTAGAATGCATTTCTCTGTTTGTTTGTTGTTATTTTCTACACAGTGAGAAGGTATTTGAGTTAATTTGTAAGTTTTCCAAAGTCTGCTATAGCAGATATATGATAAAGAGCTGATATTGTTCCCCAGACCCAATAAGGAATAATGATCCATTGACTCTCTCTTACTACACTCATAGAGAGCACTAAGAATCTGAGTGTAAAGAAGCCCCAGTTAATACTAGTCATCCTTATTTTACATTTATGAGAATATTATCTGCAAAGGTGTTGCAACTGAAACATGCACAAATAATCAGAATTGTGGCAAAGCTTCCTGGGCAAAGTAATAAAGACACATGATCAGTAATTTTTCCCTTCTACAACCAAATTCTTCACTGATAAAATATGAATTAAAAGTGAAGGACTTGACTAGGTGCAGTGGCTCATGCCTGTAGTCTCAGTGCTTTTGGGGACCGAGACAGACAGAACTCTTGAGCCCCAGAGTTCAAGACCAGCCTGGGCAACACGGTGAAGCCCCATCTCTACAGAAATACAAAAATTAGCCAGGAGTGGTGACACACGCCTGTAGTCTCAGTTACACTGGGACGCTGCAGTGGGAAGATCACCTGAGCCCTGGGAGGTGGAGGCTGCAGTGAGAGATGATCACGCCACTGTACTCCAGCCTGGGTGACAAAGTGAAACACTGTCTCGAAAAAAAAAATAAAAAGATAAGAATTTATACTAAAAGCTAAGAACTTACTGGGGTTCGATGAATAGAGGATTTAACTATCATTTGACATAGTATAAGATTATTTAAACCCATCCCTATGTAAGATTAATTGAACAGATACTACTCAAACACCTACCATGTGCCTGTTACTTTTCTAGTTGTTGTGGTACAACTGTGACGAGGATAGGGCATTTGATTGTTGTAGATGAGACAAAGTTCTAATTGGACACTGAAACCAAAACCCAAATTTCATTAAAAATAATTTATATATTATTATGCTTTTTCTGTTATCAGAACTTCTGTGAATAAACACAAAGAAAGAAGAGCAAAGAAGATAAATGTCTCATTGATTTTTAATTTTAGCTCTTTCCAAAGACATGACAAAGGTGCAATATTGCTGCAAGGACTAAAGTCATTTAGAAATTTTATTTTGAATATCTTTTTTGTCAAATCCAAAGGGTGGAAAATTCAAACAGCAACATGACAGCATTACAGCTGATTCACTTAGGGGACTTTGTGACCCAGGTCTAATCCCATGGAGAACGTGGAAACTGCTCCTTTTTTTGAACAGGTAAATATAAATCCTGTATGATAAATGTACCACATATTAAACACACTCCACAGGATCTACACCACAAAACAGAAATAGAGTATGCCTTTCAACATTTGGTATTTGGATGTGAGAATACATACAATTTAAATTGCTTTTTTTGAATATATTAAGAATTTAAAATCATAAACAATAGAATTATGCAGGAATACTTGGATTCACTGATCTCATGGCCACCTCCTAGTCACTGTAGATGTCTAGAAAACAGATAAATAAAACATTTTCACTGCCTTAAGAAACTCAACTTATTTTTGAAAAGACATGCAAATAAATATATGCCAAATGAATAAAATAAATGCTATGAATGTTTCATGACAAATAGTTCTCATGTGTTTTCTGAGTATAGTATTTTTTTAACTGAACCACAGATAAATCTCAATTCATTTGAAGCTTGCATATTATAAGGTTTCTGGACCAGAAATTTTGTGGATCTAATAAGAAACCTTGTCCTGAGGAAATTAAAGCTAACACTAGTATGCTGAAGAAAATATTTTATCCTTCTTTATTGTCCCTTTATTCTCTAATTCTACATTTAGTTACACAATTAGTGAGTGACTTAGGTTCTACAGTATTTAGGTTTATCAAAAACCTCATCACCCTGGATAATAAAGACATACAAAATGTACTTACCCTCTGCTGGTCAAGGAATAAGAGTAACTCCCGTTGGACCACTGAGGGTGCCCCTGCATGAACAAAATATCCCCAGTTAAGTTGTTTTTTTTTCCTAAGAAATTGTTATTTTTCACTGCCTAAGGAAAAAACTTTCAATTTTCCTAAATATTTTGGAGGAAAACATATAGAGAGGTTGAGTGCATTTATACTTATGCTCATATTCAAATATCTTCTTCATTAACTACATAGCCATTTTGCTTCCTTGTCATTTATCACCTAAATATCAGTAAGATAACTGTGCTTGAAAAGATGTATCTAGACAATCATCAAATATCCTTTTTCATTTCTTTTTTTTTTTTTTTTTTTTTTGAGACGGAGTCTCGCTCTGTCGCTGGAGTTCAGTGGCACGATCTTGGCTCACTGCAAGCTCCGCCTTCCGGGTTCACGCCATTCTCCGGCCTCAGCCTCCCGAGTAGCTGGGACTACAGGCTCCTGCCACCACGCCCCGGCTAATTTTTTGTGTTTTTAGTAGAGACGGGGTTTCATCGTGTTAGCCAGGATGGTCTCTGTCTCCTGACCTCGTGATCCGCCCACCTCGGTCTCCCAAAGTGCTGGCATTACAGGCGTGAGCCACGCGCCCGGCCTCCTTTTTCATTTTTAATGTAATTTTAGTGGTCACTGTGAGGAGCATCAGCTCCATAGAATATAAATTCATGAGCCATCAAGTCCTCTTTTCTCTCTGTTTGTTTTGTTCATTCATTGACTGAAACCAGGACTGGAGTGAAATTTAGTAAACCTGTATGTTAATTAAGCCTCAACAAGCAGATATCAATGATATCCCTGCCATCTGTATAGCTTAATTTTTATGTATATATTAAATATAAATTGGTTACTGTGTAGGTTCATAATTTAGAGATTGATCAAATCTGTTATCCCATTTTCTAATTTTATGTTTTAGTAATGAATATATATAGCACCTTTATCACTGCAAAGGCATTCACTTTTGGAGATTATTTTTAAAAAATAACATTTAATTTTTTTGTTACATAATATTTAATATTTTCATGAGAAATAAGAATACAACGAAAAATATACTTTTGGGATAGAGTATTTGCATTCAATAACTATAAAACAGAAAAAATAAAAAGAATTTTCACTGTAAATAATTTATTTAGCAGATGTAAAGAGCCCATTGATGATTTCTGTGGTTGAAGTGTTGTTTAAGCAAGGAAACAAGAGAACCCCCTCATTTATAGAATTTCCTTAGTAGTATTGATTATTGAGTCTGTATTGGGTAGAATATCATCTATTTTTTATAAACTCAAAGAAATTTTCTTCAGGAGAAACTTTACAGTTACAAGGATGTATGTTTAAATTCTTAAAACCTTAGTTTTAAAATTATGCTACAGCAATTTGATCCTTGAGATTTTTTAAAATAAACCTGTCAATGCTGAATCTTGATGTGCAGAGATATCTGCGTCATAACAAATTAATTTGAAGTACTGTAAAGTATACTAAGGTTTATAGATGAAGACACTGAAATCCAAAGAGGTTAGGTTCTATATTATGTATTATTTATAATTTATTAAAAATAGACTCACCAACAGTGATAACTCTGCCTTGCTAACCTTAGAATATTTTGATAAAAGTTCCTAAAGTAGGACTTATCACAATTCAGAAATATTTCACTTTTTTAAAGCTAGAATCCATGACTTTGATTGTTTTCCTAAATTACTGTTATTTCTACTTTAGTGTGTAAAATTTGCATAAGCTATTGCATATTTATCTTTATTCCTCCGATACTGGTTGTGAAGAAAGAAATTGATTAGTTCTTTTTCACAACACTTCAAGCACGCCTGGAAAGTGTGGAAAAGTAAGATCTGAACTCATGTTTACATGCAGAGTAACAAGATTATTAATCACACAATCATAATAATTTTAGAATGTATAAAGATTCCAGGAAGACCTCATGATAACTAGAGTGATTAAGTAATTATCTGGGAATTGTTTTCCTTCTAAATCTTTTTTCCCTGTATAATCTAAGATGAAAATTATACTATTATACTACTTAAAGTGAGGCTAGCAGCTTGATTATGACATGTGCCCTTGCTGGGAAGAAAGGACTGAGAATTTTCTCATCAGTTGACATGAGGGAGACCATTTCAGCCTGTCTCTAGGTAAAATTAATGTACCTGGGCCTGTTCAGTGTTCACAGTAATCAACACAGAAAATTGAATTTTGTTATGAATAAGAATGATTATCAACTTGGATCACCAAGCCCACAGGTAAATTCATTAAAATGTACTTTTACCACCAGAACTCCTATGGACAAGAAGAACAGAAATGAAAACAAATTCATTGATTTTTTCCCCCTATTCCTTTCAAGAGATTAAAAAAAAAAATGAGATTATTCATTTACTGGAGGGCTGCAGCCATTGGAATATGTGCTTTGAACCAACATTTTTTCAAACTGGAAATGGAAAAATGGCAAAAACAAAACAAAACAAACAAACAAACAAAAACCATGTTAGTGCTGATTCACTAGGATGTTTTGTGAACTAGGCCTAAATTCATAAAATACATGGAAATTATTTTCCAAGCTGAACGAGAGTACAAAACTAGGACTATAATTAAATTTGAGGTTGTAATTTTTAACTCTGCAATAACCAGCCTTTTCTTTTTCTCTCAAGATGATAAACACAACCTTTAATTCACATTTTAATGCAAAAATGGTAATTACTGTAAAATTATCATTATTTCTCTCATTTCTTCAAAGTATGAATTAGAGACTTTGCTTTAGAAATGTTATTTTATCTACTATCCACAACAACTTTGAGATAGATATTGTTTTCTCCTTCTTAAAGAGAGTAAATAAATTCCCAATATCACATAGCAATTAAAAATCTAGAATTCTTACCCTCGCATGAGTAATCTTAACTATATAATCATAGTCACTAAAGTTTCCTCAAGTCTTATTATTTCCTTTTGTTCTCTTTTCTCATCTGTAAGATATGGAATTGGAAACTTTTGGCAATTTTCAAACTTTGTAACTTATGGATTATTTTTTGTAATAAAATTGATTATAAAAATTAAGCTGCAGTAGAAGAAGTTGTAGGTCTCTAAATCCCCTTATCCCTGTAGTAAACTGAAAACAATTTAGTAATAATTTTGGCTCCTTTGGAAAACTCATTTTGAGAACTACTATACTAGTATCTTTTGGGAGACCTATCCATACCCATCCTACAAGATCTCTTGACATTTCTCATTTAAAACCTGTTTTCATCAAAGAAACTTGTAAATCTACTGAAGAATTTTATAAATACCATTGGGTGGCTGGGGAGAAAGTAGAGACTAAGGGTCATTTCTATCCTAGTAACTTACTACACAGGTCAGAGACTATAAAGACTCCTTATTTGAGGACATTACTAAGGTCACCTCAGAGACAAAAAAGCATATCTTATTCGCACTTGACCTAGCAGAGAGAAAGGTCATGTTTTCCCGCATAAAGACTTGATTAAGATGGTTTAGCATTTCTTCTCATCTTGACTAAACTTTATATAAGTTTCTTTTTGATTCTAGACCCCCAACTTCGCTATTCTTAGATCATTTTCTTTCAAACTGTATAATTACAAATTTCCTCTCTACCTCTTTGAGATGTAAATCTTTTCCCAGGCAACTGTCAGTTTTGCAAGCCAAGAACGTCTTTCTCAAGGACATTCTCCAGGAACAGATGATAGCCAGAGTTTGCTAGCCTTTTAAATCCAATGGCATGCAAAAGTGGAAAAATAAATATGACCCAGATTTTGTGATTCAAATAGAGAAGACAGTATTTTCGAGGAAATAGGCAACAAAGAATAAGATGTATGTATAAGGTGGTGGCAAGTACAAAATTCAAATGAAAAGAAGATACTTGTCATTTTATGTAACTTCACAAAATCTGCATATGTAGGAAAAGGAACTTTACTTAGGAAGAGGCTGGGATAGTTATGATGTCATTTGGAGAAAAGAAAAAGATTGCAATAGTAAGATAATTCAGAGAAAAGGAAACCAAATGAGAATTAAGTTCAAGGTGAAGGAAACCTTGCCTAGAATTGATGCAGCAGAAAGAGGTATAATTTAAGCAACACTGAATTAATAATGTTTTCTTGTGATCCTCAAACTGGAAACTGCTCACACAGAGTATAAGGTGAAATTTTTAAGGTTGAGGACCCAAGAACATCCTGTAAGATCAAGAACAGATGATTAAATTAATTAAAGATGGAAGTTCTTGCTGAACAGAACCTAACAGTTCAACCCAAGAGCGTGTTCTATTTCAGTAAGTTGAAATAGAACAATTTATTCTGTTTCAGAATAAATTGTCCATTAAAACGCTGCACTCCCTTTGATCCAAATCTATGCTCCACTGATACTCTAAGTAGTGTTAGTCATTAGATTAGTGATAAAATTTTATTACATAATGGGAATGATGAAAGCTTTGTCTATCTATGAGACAAAAAGGAAAAAACCAAAAAGTCAAAGCAACTAGTTCACAAAGGAATAGAGGAAAATAGAAAATGTGAAAATTGACTTGAAAAGGTCATGAAACATTTTCCTACTTACACATTCCACTATTTATGTGAGGAGTCAAAGGAATTTGGTTCTAGAGTAAGGTAGGGAACAGTGTTGAAGGTTTTTGTGTGTAGCTAATATTTATCTGAGAAACTTCTTTGCTCTCCTCAGTCACCACTGCAACTCCTCTTAGCTCACAGTGACAAACACATATGGGAGTAAAATTGTTCACCAGTATGAAGCCCCAGAATGTCAAGGTAGAAGCAGAAGAACCATAGCAAAGATCAACGGTTTTCTCTTTCACTTAAACTGTATTACTATGGCTCGGGAAGTGGTTACTTCTTCATCCTTGTAAGAAGATGTGCAACAAAGTCCTTTCTCTTTTCACCTAATATAGACTGCTCTCAGGAGTTTAATGAAAAGCCTTGATGACAATTATATTTTTCTTAGTTATACCACAATAAATGTTCACAAATCTACTCAATAATTGTGGCCCCAGAATACAATCTGTTAAAAAATGTAG